AATCTGAATGACTGTCAACAACCCCCTTTGAGCAATGTTCACATAGACGTCCTGTGTACCTTGATAGAGAAAATTGTCAGTGCTGTTTTAAAAAAAATCTAAAATATGAAACCTAAACAAAAACAAACAAACTGTCAGCCCATTGAAATAAAACCTAGTTAGACCTAGCTCAGGGAGAGCATCTTGGCTTCATCCTTTCCACAAAAGCCAAGCCAGGCTTCCCAGGTGAAAAGCCACACCTGGATGCCCAATTCTCACTGAACTTATACAAATGTCAAGATGTGATTACTTGGTTTCACCAAAAGGACACCTTGCTTGCTTAATGTCTCTAAGTCAAGAAAGTTTCAACAAACCAGTGTTGTCACTAAAATAAGCAGATTCTGCAGCAGACCACAAGGTTCATTTAAGCCTCTTTCCCACTGAAATGAGTGGGTTAACACCGGGTTTTGCAAACACCCGCTAACAGTCGGCATTTGGCTCCCTTCCCAATGGCTAAACAAAACAAAAAAAAAATGTAGGAAAGACTAGAGAGGTCCACCTCCACTTGACTTTACCCTGCTGGCAAAAATGTGAAGGCCTATAGAGAGAATTTGAACAGTTAGTGCAGGTCTATGCAACCTTGGAAGCTTTAGTGTTTTTTAAAAGAATATTTGAAAGGAATTTTCTTAACAAAATGACTTTAGAGAAGCAGAAACATTTCTTGACAATAGCTTGGAAACTGTGTGTTTATTTTATTATTTATTACAAAATACCCTATAGAAAATGAATCCAAAACTCATCACTAAAAAGACTAAAGACTAAAAAACACAAACTGGTGTTGATTAAAACGTTTAACAAATATACTATAGCAGAACAAAACTAATAGTGATGTTTTATTTAAAGGATGATGTAATTTTTGTGGCTTTAATTTAGCATGGCTGGGGGTAAAATGACTCTTTGGATTTGAAAGGTTGCAGACCCCTGAGTTAGGGCCTGATTCAAGCTGCGGTCCAATTAAGGAAGCTTAGTAAATGAACCACTGGTTAACATTTATGCAATTAACTATCAGGGGATTTTTTTTTTTTGTATTTATCCCTGAAGAAACAGGATACTATGCTACTAAGTGTTTAGCCTTATGGACCTTATTATGTAACAGACAAGTGCATAAGTGATATTTACTTATGGAAAAGAATTACAAGAAAATTGACAAATTTAGCGAATGGCTAAAACTATTGTTATAAAACCCAAAACATGAAGGTTTGTACATTAGCATGTGTCACATAGCATAAAGAAATCATTTATTTTTGTTTAACTCCTTTACGTTGGCTGTGCCTACAAGCCATGTAAGAAAAAGGATTGTGGGCAACTCTTTAGCTTCTTGCAGTGGCTAGGGAAATCACAAGGTCCCCATGGTAACTGAATTGGTGTCAGGAAGCCCCCTGCTTCCTCTTCCAAGCTCTGTCCTTTTTGTCAGCCCTATTGAGAGCTAGAACTTGCTATGGTGGCTTCTGAGGCACTTCAGCTGTGGCTTAAGTGCTCTTACCAATTGGATTGAGCCTTAGTTGGCTCTAAACCTGGTCTCAACCTGGCTAAGTTCACTGGGTCAATTGCCATAGTAACAGAGTCAGACTCAGAGCAAGCCCAATTCAGGAAACCTAAAAGACAACAAAATAAACCAGAATTGGCAAACTAAGCCTGACTTAAAATCTAAGCCAGTTTAAAACAAGTCTCTGGTATTTGTCTTTTTGTTTACCTTTTTTATTGTTTGTTTTTATCTAACCTGAGAAATATGAAGAAAGTTAAACAGGGTATATAATTTTGGTGCATAGAAACTTGTAGAATGTTTCAATTGATCCGTAATATTGAAATTAAGTATATTTCAATTCTCTAACAGTATAGAGGATAGGAGGCAAATTTGGTATATTTTAGGTCTCAAATATTTTAAGTCATAAATTGGAAATATTAATAAAAAATTGACCTCAAAAAAAGAACATAAAAAATATGCCTGATGTTGGTGTCCAGAACAACAAAAGAGTAAATTATCCAAGTAGACCAAGCGGGTGTGCAGCCTTTGAAATCCAAAGAACCATTTTGCCCCAAGTCCTGCTGAGTAAAAATCTTGTATAGCTTCAAACATTATATAACCCTTTATAAAACAAAACTTTTTTTTTTTCTTTTTTTTTTATAACTGATATAGGAAATCTGTCACCATCTTAAGCAATTAAATGTTTATTTGTATTTTTACATTTCAAGACAAGAAAAAAATTAAAGTTTCATAAAGATGAAGCATGAATTTTCTTCCAAAGGATATCATTTGATGTATAAAAACATAATTTCCAGCTAATGACAAAAAAAATAGATCTAAAAACATATTTTTGGTTATTTTAAGGTGATTTTGTTTGGAAAGCTCTAACATAAATTGTTTAAATAACCCAATAAAGTCTAAAATGCTGGTATTCGTAATTATATTATATTAGTTGATTCCTTATATAATTTTAGGCCATTATAAAGAGTCATGGCAGAGATAACAAAGGCCCACTGATGACTCCAGAGCTGCAGGTTGCGAACTCCTGATGTGGACAGAGACAGTGAAGAGATCAAATGGTAAATTATTATAAAATATATGTGAATTTTAAACTCAAAATATTTAATACAGTAAAAAATAACAACTCTAACTACAGAAAACTGGCTTTGAATTTATTATGGACAGAAAATTGAAACAGAATCAAATTGTTACTATAAAAGGTAAATATAAAATTACTGACACAGGTCTTTTAAAGTTACCTGCATATCACTGTGTGCTCTTCATGCACACATATATTTTAAAAAAATCTATCTTATACCCTGGTTGCAAGCTCCTTTAGCCAATCAGAACATGTTCCTGCTTTATTCTGAAAAGTTCATCTTTATACATGGCATACTTATTATTCTATGTATCAAGATCATATATTGTATATTTTATTTATATTATGTCTTTTGAGGAACTTAAGCCTTCTTCTAGTAAAACCACAAATTATCTACACAGACCAATGTATTATATTAAAAAGTACTATCTGACTCTTAACAGTGTTCTCTGCTGAGGTGCTTTTTCTGAAGAAGGAGAAAAGGCTTAATCAGATTAGTCAGACTAGACCTACGATGGAAAGGTAGTGTCTCTTAAGAAGATTTCAGAACAAGCATTTCAAAAGATGAGCCATTCATACAGGACTTCAAGAGGTAAGGATCTGAAAATATATTTTTTTTCTACCCATGAAGTATGTTTAATATGAATCCAGTTCCTCAGAGCCGTGCCTTAGAGTCAAAAGGATATTTTTTTAAGTTGGTTATCGTGGGTTTTTTATAAAATCTTCTTTAGGGACCTCTAATAATTTTTTGCACCTGCTTCCAAAACACAAAGGGTGAGGTATAGGTCACAGCAAAAAAAAAAAAATTCGTAAGGTCATTCAACTACTTTCACTGCAAAAACATTCTGCAAATGAGTAAAAATGTCTCAAAATAAGTGTATTCACCCTTAATCTAAGCAGAAAAATAAAATGATCTGCCAATGGAATGACCATTTTTACTCTTAAAATAATTTAGATATTATGCACTTGAAATAAGAAACTGCATTTGCTTTTTCTTATTTTAAACGTAAATGGTCTTATTCCATTATTATGTCCCACTTACCTGCTCAATTTAAGAAAAATCCACTTATATTAAGAAATAATTACTAACTTAGATTAACATTTTTTTGCAGTCTTTAGATAAATTCTAAAATTAATGTGGTGTCAGCGATGTTTTGCTGTGCTCTGCAACAAAGAAAGAGATGGTATTTTAAGATCACTGTTAAGCCAATACATCTAAAGATAACTAAGCAGAACTAAAGCGCAACTGTTAATTTATTTTATGCACGACAATAAGTTCTCTAGAGGAAAATGCCTAGTCAGAATCAGTGGTGACAGCAAAGACATAGAGGGAAGTACAGAAAGAGTAGTAGAGGGGTACAGAGCTATGGGTAAGAGTAAGAATAGGAGATGCTCTTTGAACAGGTGGGTCTTAAGGAGTTTCCTGAAGATAGACAGGGTGTTTGGTAGGTCATTCCACCATCTTGAAACAACATATGAAAACAATCTGGATTGCCTTAATTGTGGTGTAGGCACTGCTAGACGACAGCCCATTGATGACCGGAGTGACCGAGTTGTGACATAAGCCGTTGCAAGAGGGTTCAACTAGATGGCCTTAAGCACTAGAACCTTAAGCACTTTGTAGGCTAGCATCAGGAATTTGAATTTGACGCAGGCAGCCAGGGGTAACCAGTGAAGCTCAGTGAACGGAGGGGGGATGTGAGACTTTTTGGGCTGGTTGAATGTACCGCCATGTTCTGGATCATTTGTAGCGGTTTTATCATACAGGAGACCAGTCAGGAGTGCGTTACAACAGTAAAGACGGGAGATAACCATAGACTGCACCAGGGTAGCATGTTGGGTTAGGTATGGCCGGATCTTTCTTATGTTTAGTAGTGTGAAGCGACAAGATCGAGAAATGGAGGTAACATGATCTTTAAACTAAATTAGATAATCCCAATAGACTTCCAAATGTTTTAAAACACATGCTAAAAATATTGTTCGACCCACCAAATACCAATATATTTAACAAATAATTTTAAACATTTAAATAAGCATACTATTTTGCTTAGTGTTCCATATTATTAAAAAGAAAAATTGAACATTACAAAATACCTACATTTTTCCTGAAGACGCACTAAATGGATCAATCTTATTATGATCAAAATATCAAAACCTCATCTGCTTGTAGTAAACATTGAGCCAAGATTAAACAAATATTTTATTATTTCTCCACTGCAACATGAAGTGAAATCACCCTTCATGAAAATTGGAGCTTAAAAACTCCTTAATGTGGCAAAAAATGGCTTTCTTTATATTCACATGAATAGAAAAAGGTTATAGTGCATCAATGTCTTCGAACAGAACTGTTATACTCTTTTTTTTCACAAATCACTTTATCCTTGTTTTTGCCCTTACCTGGTCAGCTCCCTTCTTTTTCTTTTTCTTCTTTCCCCAGCAGCCAGAGCTCTCTCCTTCACAACCATTTGCATCACAAAGCAGCCCATCCAGCTCTTCAAGACCACCTTGCTGGCCATGGGATGTCTCAGCAGCCAGTCTGTATGACAGATTTCTCAGAATACAAACACAGTTCTCTACAGTCTGGAGATAAAACAAATGCAGGGAAGGAAGTGGGGAGGGAAGAGAGATGGCAAGGGGTGAAGGAAGAAAGGAAGATGATATGAAGAAAAGATAAATGGTTTAAGTGGAAAAGTCAAAATGAAAGATCTGTTTGAAAACAAAAAAGAAGTTCAAATACAAGCATCACTTGAAAGAAAAAGAGAAAGATAGAAAAAACACCCATATATAATATAAACCCTTTGGCATCAGCCAGGATAAACAGATTTAGGAAGCAAAAGAACATTCATAATCTCTCAGGTAATATGTTTCTGCATTTTGTTAGCTCTGACTTTGAAATAAGATTAGAAGGAAACTCAAGCAAATGAGGAAAAATGACAAACCCAATATATTATGTCACACCTCATTTAACTCTCAGTTCAGAGGCAAACCCTAAAGTCACAGAGCTTGTGAGCAAGTGTGTCTCTGCACATGAAAAAACCATGTCTTACAACATTTGTTGTCTATTCTTCAATGTGTACGTCTGAGACTTTGTTTAGGCGCATGTGTTTGCGTATCATTGAGAAAGGGGAGTCATCAAATCAACAGAGTGGAAATTATCAAAGACAAATCATCAATCTTCCTGCAGCCTGACCGTTGGTTTACACAAAGACGACTAAGGAGCGTAATTGAACAGCCTCAAGAGATGCAACAAAGAAAAACAATGTCTCACTCCAGTGAGCTGCAGTCATGTCTGAAATTCTATTCACAGTCTATTACAAAATTATGTTGAAGAAGTTATGTTTAATTTACAATTTACTGTGACATTTCATATTTCGATCTGTTGTTTCACATCTATTCTGAAGTCCTTTATTATACTGGTAAAAAAAAAGCTTGGTGATGGTCCTATATTAACAGAGGTTTTCAGTGGCAAGCACAGGAGGCTCTGAACCAAGGTTAGATCCTTACCAACATATCCACCATGAGTAACATTGATTGATTATTCTCTAAAACAAAGTTTAATACTTGTTAACATTTCTATCTTTTCTATTGCATCTCTCCAGACATGCAATAACAAGACTCATTTTGCAGCATTCGGTAGCTTCTTTAAAATTTGCTGCACACGATTGGGAAACACGGAAACAATGTATTTTGGTCAAACGAATCCATAGATATAAAGGAAGAGTGCCACAAACTCACACCCCACCAATGCTTCTGATTTGTTTTAATTCAAGAGACATCTTAAAGTGTCAGTATCCCTCCCCCTCCAAAAAAGGCATTTCTATAAAATATTTGATAATTATTTAATTCCATTTCAATTCAGTTTATTTCTATAGCCACAATTCACAACACAAGTCATCTCAAGGCACTTTACAGTTCAACCAGATCATACAGTCAAATTGATTCAAAGTTTTCTATCTGAGGAAAACCAGTTGATTGCATCGACTCATTGACTCAAATTCAATCCCTCACACTAAGTATGCTTGTAGCGACAGTGGAGAGGAAAAACTCCCTTTTAACAGGAAGAAACCTCCAGCAGAACCAGGCAGTTATTCACTGTCTTCTAAGCCTTTTTGGACAAGATGTTAATCATTGACAAGTTTTATTTGATTTATTTGTATGTATCACTTAGATTCCTGACATTTCATGTAAAAATGAATAGAAAATTAAGGAATATATTTTACAGACAATTGTCAGAATAGGTGATTGGTGGATCTATACTGTGTTATCCAGCAGCATTTCAAATGTTTCTATATGAGGAACAAATGAGTATTTTCAATTGACCAAAAAGGTTTTCTAGATGGAAAAACAAGTTAATAAGATATCACTGTCAGTAATTTAAAACGGATATAAACTTTTATGTTTTTAACTGCTGAGTATTAATGTTTAAGTAAAAGACATGAGTTCAATCATTTATAAGAGAAGGTCAGCTTTTTGACCGACACTTTTGGTATTTAATTGAGGCGATAGTGGCGTTGGATGGAGACATTTGCCCAGCAACTGAAGGGTTGCTGATTCCGGCTCTGGCTTTTACTGTCGCCGTGTCCTTGGGCAAGACGCTTCACCCATATTCCAACTAAGGGTAGTCAGAGCGCGCCTGTGTATGACCGGCTGCTGTCAGTGAGCCCAAGGGCAGCTGGCTACAATTCAGCTTGCCACCATCAGTGTATGGGTTATTGGGTGAATGACTGAATGTAGTGTAAAGTGCTTTGGTCGAGTCTCCTGAGTTAAAAACAGCGCTGTACAACTACAGTCCATTTACCATTTATTTGACACAAAGATTGACATGCCAGAAACAAGAACAAATCCTCATTACTAATTAAATTTACTCAGGGTATCTCCAAACAAACATAGAATGCAGTCTAAAGATTAATACAGTATCTTAAATATAAAAGAAAACAAAAAAAAGTAAGTGAGTGAGAAAAATCAAGGTCTTAATGGTGACAAATGATATATTGTTAGGACACTCACAAAAAGAAATAATGAAGAAAGTTTATACAGACAATGAATATTTCAAATAAAGAAAATGCTTCTTTTGATTGATGATTTGATAATTAGCATATATAACTATGGTTTCAAAGGGCTAATTAAATAACCTTTCTGCTCTGCAGAAATGTTTCAATATAGTAATTTAGCACTGCAATGCGGTGCTACTTTTTCTGTAAGTCTAGGAATAAAACCTGAACTGAAAAAATATACAAATTCAGGTAAATGAAATACATGACATGATCCTTGCTCAGATTTAATAGAAATTTCTGCAAGATTTAAACACTTCTTTAATTACTTAGCACGCTAAATGCTACAACAGACTTATTGGCAGATGGTATGATACAGAATAAGATGAAAAAAACAAAAAAAACAAAACAAAAGAATATATGGAAGTGAAGGCAAACTGAGCACATGTAGGTAATGTCCGTGTTTGGTGCAGCAGCAACCATTAGATAGTTTATCTGCCAATCGGTCTTTGTTACTGAGGCAACAACAGTCCTCTGGCGACTGCAGTCAAACAGTGGCGAGGGAAGGATGGTTAAACAGTGATTAAGGATGGCCATTTAGAAAAGGCTAGAAGACAGGGAGACCTTGAGAAGTCAGCCATCCACAACACTATTTATGTAATATTGACTGGCCCCCACACAGCATCTTATGTACACTGCACACCAACATAAATGTGTTCCCACAAAGAAAAATGCAGAGTGAACATAAATCCTCTCAACTTTGTCTGCCAGTTTAATTGGATGCAGGAAATGCTCCAATACTTTAGTTTTAAAAGCTGTAACTTGGCTTAATGAACATAATATTTTCTGAGAACAAAAATATTTCTCATCTTTGAAGACATTCATCTGTTTTTTTTTTGTATTCCTAGGTTACTTCATAGATTTGACAACTGTCTGGTGTGACAAGGGAGTGTAGAGGCTCTTTGCTTCCAGGCATAATTGATTGTTTCAGAATGAATAACAGACTTTATGCTTAAAGGGCCACAGAGTAAACCCAATAAATACCTTGCTGTCGATCTCACTACTGCCCAAAGAGGTCTGGATAACGTAGAGCAGAGCATCTGTAAGTCCGTCACACTCCCTCATCCTGCGTCGGGCCTCCTCTCCTGCTGAGCTTACATTTCTGTAGCACATGTAAGAAAGATAAGACAAATAGACAGGTCAAAGAGAGAGAAAAGCTGGTATTAAGACTAATCTGAGGGAAGAAAGAAAAACAAACATAAATGGGAACAAAATACAGACTCTGGAGTTGGGATAAACACTTACTAAATGCAACTTCTCAGTCTATGCCTCCCTGAGCGCTGCTTAAATCCAAAAGAGGGAGAGGGGGAAATAAAGCCACTTCATTCTAAAACCTGAAGGAGCATGAATTTCACAGCCAAGATGCACACCTAATACTGTTTTTAAGGTAGCTATTTTCAGTATCAGTGAGGCAGTTACAACTCAAGTCAGTTAAAGCACCAAAGATGTTCGGCTCTGCTCTATGGGAAATTGCAAATTTCTACGGAAATTTGTCTGTAGCCTATTAACGTTGCCATAGCAAAAAGCCAGATTTAGACAGATGACAGGAAGGCAGAAAATACTGCAGCAAAAGATTAAAAAGTCATTTTATTTGTCCTGCTGAGCTTTCAGCCCCTCGCAAATGCATGATTTGAAAATGATGGCAGCCTTCTGACTCCTCTCTGTGTTAAAGGTCTACATTCCCAAGAAAATGCAGAGGCTGCTGTTTAATGTAAGGAAAAGCTAACCATGCTATATGTTAATTCAAGAGGTTAAATACATTTTACTAGATTCCTCTAATCATTTTGTCTTTTTCTTCTGAATAACATTAAAGCCCTACTTTACAATACCTTGTGTCTTACACACACGGCATGATGTTGCCTTTTCTTTTTAATTTAAATGATTTTTATAAACATAAACAATATTTTTAATTGGATTAATAAATTTCCTTCACAATCTAATACTTACAGAGAGATTTAAATATTTAAAAATAGAAACATTATTAAATATATTTCGAGATATTCGAAAAAATATTTGTTTAGTTTTTTTAAAAGCACATAATTTTTCTCAATTGAATGATTACCAACCATTAGTCTGAAGTACAGGTTAGTGATGCTATGGAAGAATTTGTCTGGGTCTTAGTGCATTTGAATTACAGAGACCAGACATCCCTGATTTCCGAGGACATCCCGTTTTGGACCACCTGTCCCCGGCTAGTCACCTGAAAATATCACTCATTTTATTGTTTTATTAATGAGGGGGAAAATGCTGCATGTAGACAGTTATTATGGTAGAAAGAACGCATGAGGATGTTGGGCACAGAAACAGCTATTACAGTATCTAGTTGCATTGTTGTTAATGTACAGAGGATTTGGAACAGCTAACCAACTTCCAATATGTGTGTGAAAAAATATCTTACTTAAACTATTACATTTTAGGTTTTCATGTTGTACATTCAAATTGTTTAAGAAGGGATTGTGATTACATAATGTGTGTTTTAGAAAAGTGTAAAATTGATAGAAGAGGGAGAAGAAGAAGATAGAAGATTGAATGAGAGTGCAGGAAAATATTAACACTGATGGAAAGAAAAATATCTATTTAGAAGAGTAAAACAGAGAGCAGGCAGAAGTCAAAAGAAGGCTAGAAAGAACACAAATCTGTAACCATCCAGACCTGGATTAATCAGCTAGACAGTAATGAAAGACAGGGAACAAAGGAACAAAGTTCAGGAAGTAGTGGAGCTGTGCATAGAGCCAAGTAGTAGGAGAAATTAATCTGCTTCTTTGAGATGCATAGGCCCCCCCTGATGCTGTCAGTTGACAGAAGTAAACATAGATAACCCTTTAACCTGCAGGCTATGACCACTATCTGTGTTTTTATCCATTCTAATGCAGAAAAACCTAATTCTCATAGGTATGTAGATGTGAACAGGATGGGTATTTGTTGCAATTTTTTGAAGAGATGGGGAACTCCACAGCCATAGGCATACGCTAAATGTTGGACAAATGTTTGGATTTACTTTTCTATTTTTTATTTTCCTAATTTCATTCTTCTCTTTAGGCCCCAGAAGATTAGAAAACCCAGATACCAAGCCTTGACACCTCCACCCCTACCCGTTTCCCCCAACCCAGAGCAACAGTTCTAGTTCTCTAACACTATAGATTTATTCATTTTTATTAATTGTGGATTTTTATGACAGTACATGTGGTGAGATATTCCTGGCCTCTACACTTGATTTTTGTTATTTAAATAATGATAAATATGTAAAAAAAAAAAAAGGAAACCAATACTGTCGGAGCTTCCTAAATTTAATGTTGATGAGATGGATTTCTGTTCATCCTCGAGCTAATCAGAGTTTAGAAATCTGCTCACCTTAATGTAATTAATATAAAGCTTATTTTCCTGTTTTAGAAACATGAAATTTGGATGCAATTAAATTAATATTTCATGAATTACATTTTACAAAATGCAGTAAGCCACATTTATTAGTAAAATAATGCACTTCAGAACATCCAGCATAAAGGTTTTTAAAGAAACTTTGTGCTTTATAGGTTAAAGAGGAGTTATCTGACATCCAAATGACTTCAAGTAATCATAAAAGCTCATAGCCAGAACCTGTAAATACTTTCCTAACCATGTTGCATAATCTTGTCAATTCACTTGAACAGCACAAAAGAAAAAAAAGTGGGATCCTGTCTTATTTAATCAAGATGAATGGAAAAGCAGAGCGTACTTGCATTTGTTTTGAGAGTCACATAGCAGATCTTTAGACATACATGTTGGCTAGTTATACAGTAAACCAGCATAAGTAAAATGCAAAAGACATTTTAGAGTTAAGCCTTAAATCTAATCAAAGTACTGTAGTGATATCCATTTACGCTGCAAACCTCTGCTAAAACAACATGCCAACAAAAGAAAGAGGATGAACAAAAGATTCATTAAAATTTTGTCACAAGAGTTTCATTTTATTCTCTTGAGATGAAATTTAACAGATTAGACATTGTTTGAGAACAAAGAGTCAAATCTGTCATACTAGCATAATAAAGATCGCAGCTGTTTTTGTGAGTCAAATTAGGTTACTAAAAAACTGTATTGAAGAGAGAGAGAACTCAATTAAAACTTCAGATCCACGGATCCACAATACCAAGAGAAGGTCAAATCGTTTTCACCCGCCTTGAATGCTAATGGGCAAACAAGTATACTTTGGAAATGGCACTTTGCACAGACAAGTCTATGTTAAGTAAGGTTGGGCGACTGGAGGAATCTATCCAGACAAGCATACAGACAGCATCAAACTTTTGATCTCTCTCAAAGCCCTGTCTGCACTGAATGATGAAAAATAAGAATGAATAATTTATTTACATATGTATACAAATGGTTATACCCTACTAAATTAGCTTTGCATAAAAAAAAATAAGTCTATGAAAAAAATGATATTTCTTGTTGCTATAAAGAAAGAAAAAGTATGGTCAAATAAATACTCCAAAATATGTTTTCTTTAAAGTGTGGCGAAACAGATTACAATTAGTGTCTTCATTGACCTACACAGTTAAACTTTGAGGACAAACATTACATTTTATATTGTGGCACTGGCAGTTTTTAACCACATACATCATAAGTGGGTTCTATTCAGCTTCAGTCACTTCAGACAATACATGCAGCAGGAAATCCCCAAGCCCCTGGCTGGGGTTGACAATTCTCTGTTTGTATTCCCACTGCTACTACCTCTGGGTTAGCTTAACATCCAGACTAGTCAATCCGAAGGACTGTGCCATTCTAAAAACACATTTGAAAGTACAATCATAATATTGATTGTTTGACTATGAAGAATAAGTGTTGAGGTCTACATTCCCCAAAAAACATCCTTAAATAACTTTTTCAATTAACAGGTAAAGACTGACTTACTGGCCGATATTATGACGGTTAAGCCGGAGTAGGTACCAGATCTGTTCAGTTGGTCAGATCATGGGGGCTAAGGATCACTTCAGAAAACCATTTTAAACTACTATCCAAAGCTAAACTCATATAGAAAGGGTCACACTAATTTCCCTGGTCTCCAGCTAATCTGAAAGTGACTAATGCAAAGGGGAAAAGTGTGCTGTGACAATTTCAAATAGTTTTTTGTCATCATTGACATTGTGTTCTGAAAAAAAAAGGTAAAAGATATATCGGTATTGTTATCAGCAAAAAGTTCAAATGCCAACATCTGTGATGATATAGGTGTGACATTCAAGCCATGTGTTTTTCAGGAACATTCCTGCTCATTTCAGCCCAACCATGCCAGGACGCACTTTACACGTTACAACAGCTCGGCTATGTATTGAAATAATGTTGGGTGCTAAACTGGCTTCCCTGTAATCAAATCGTCATTTATAAAGATTGCTTATGCAAGAAAACGGGGCCTTAAACTTTGAGTACGCCAGTGTCCACATAAATGTAGTTATCTATAAAAAACAAAATTGGGGTGACAATGTGCGCTCCCTCATGGCAACACCAATTTATCCATTATGGGTATGCAGATTTTGGAGGTAGGGGAAATTGGCAGCACAGATGTTGACTGAGGGGAACTGAGGCCAGATTGCGTCATAATTCATCTCAGACATTTTCCTTCACTTTATTGGAAACTTAATTTTAGATTGACTGTCATGCAAAAAAAAAAAAAAAAAGTTCATATGCAGCTTACATTTCGAATCAAACGTTCAAACAAGTTTAAATGTTTCCTCTCCATTGCATTGCTCTAGCTGATAATCAACAGGGTGAGGAATGTATTAATGTAACAAGATGTGAGGGAGTGATATGGGTTGCTGCAAATATTTAAATACTGGTGAAACACCATGATGGATACTTTATTTCAGGATTAGAATCAAGTTTATTGGCAAGTAGGTTTGCACTTACAATGAATTTGACTTGGTGCTGATGGTGCAGATAACTTAGACATATATACAGAATCTATAGCTTTATACAATATAAAACATAAAATATACTATACACGTTACTGTATATAGTATATAATATACTTAACTATGCTCAACATTTTCTAAATGGATTAATTAGGAGGGAATTTGTTTCAGGAATAAACAGGATTACCTGAGCAATGCTGACTGGTTTATGAGCAGATTTTACTCCCTAGATTGTGGCTCTTTGACCCAACAATCCCTTTTTATCATTGAAGGTTAGAAGAACAGCACTGTGCATATGTCAAAAGAGGGTCTACAGGTCCTTGTTAATATGATCAGTCCATACATCAGACACTGAAGGTTAAATGACTGATATTGTTTTTATCTAATGTTGCTACAAAACATATTTATTTGACTCTACTCCATCAATCTATTGCCGCCTTGGTTAAACTGCTATTTTATTTGATTTTTTTTCCCTCTCCTGGCTGCGGTTGCCATACTAACCATTAAATACCATTGATCAACTGGCTCATTTAAATACGCAGTGACATTCACACTGCATTGCATGGACCATTTATGATTAAAAGTGCAAACTTTGAGGTACAGCTGTGCGCTTTAAAGAAAAAAGGCAATACGCGTTCACCATATCAAAGAAATTATAAATGACTGATTGTTGATATGAATGAACTAAAACACAGTATTTGAAACATGGTATTAAACAAAATCTCCCAGCATTGTGTCTAAGATTTTTCATGCAAGAATAATAATACTTTGTTTAAAAAAAAAAAAAATCAACATTTTACATCACAAAAAAGAATAGTGCTAGACTGATCACAACTGCTCTAAATACACTTTGAATGCAGTCATATGAACATCACCAGATCCAGCTTAATTCAATTCATTGCATCATTGCTGCGTGACCTATCAGTAGTGATTATAATCACTTCAACAAGGTAATAAGGACTTAATTAAAAAAGGGGGATTATAAAGTTTTTTTGGTGGTCTAAACAGCTAATTTATTTATCACATTAATTTCTCAAACTGTAAGATAAGTGTGATTTTAATCATGTTCAGGCTTTCTGTAGGAGAATATCTTAATTTTAAATGACCCTATAGCATGATTATCAGGGGTTATTTGATGAGATACCTCATTTATGACGTAACTATGCAGAACATTTCTATAGAAGTAATCCGTACTTTGTTGGGTTTTTTTTAGGACAGGACATTAGTTTGTTAAAAGTGATGATGTGAACTAGAAAAAAATACAATGAGAGCAATGAACAATTAGCCTGTGTAAGAGCATAGGAATTTGGTTGCCACACTAGACCTGTATTTATTTGTTAACTATTTTCTAATACATAGAGCAGCAATACCATATATTTATTGGTAAAGTCTTTCTGTATGCAGTGAGCTTGACAGAAGAAGCACATCAGAGCCTGAGTCCATCATTTGCTCCGTCACTTTGATACAATGTGTATGGGATTTCCCGTAATTTCTAATAGACACACAGCTTAACATATCTTCCAATTAGACTGGCATAGAACTGTTTAAATAGACTATGTTCATGGTTAATTACCATGCAAGGGCTTCCAACCAATACGATTGAGGTGTTCAAATCTGTATTTTTTAAACAAGTTTAGAAAAAAATATACATCTTTATTTTACTTTATTTTCTTTTTACAGATACATTCACAAATTAGGCAAAAAACATTTCTCCAAACTTACTTGTAGCAATTAAGTTAAATAAAAAGAAAGATATTGAGATCATGAGTGAATCTTAGACAGATGGTGAGCAGACAATGTCATTCTGTGAATAAATGACAACTGGATGCCTCAAACACTTCCTGTGAGGCAGAGCTGTACAAGTGTCTGACCATGTGTATGTCCCTGTATTTAAAATGAGAGCACAACGTAGCAGAAGGCTATCACCGAATGAAATGCAAATGCATCGAATATATTAATATGAAGCAGAGCAATATGGAAACACAGCTGTTTCTGACCATCCTTCCTAATCTTTGCTTAAGCTTTAGTTCCTAAAACGAATCAACCTATTTCATGTGTCAATAAATCTTAAACAGCTAACTGGGAATCGTCTTCTTCTTGGCAGAAAGCCTGCAACCTGCAAGCTGTTAAAATATTTTTATTTACCTGAAACTCTACAGAATACTTTATGTTTTATTTTTATATCTTATGCAAAAACCCCACATCAGTATTTGGCTGTGAACAAACTAGAAGATAAAACTTTCAGAGCTCATTGTGTAAGTGGTCTCTTAAGCATTTTATCTAATACAGTTATTGAAAAGGAGTGGGTGGGAAATGGTGAATAAAAGACCACTAATACTTTTGCAGCTGACTTAATTTGCATATGGAAGTCATTGTCTGTAAGTCATCCCCAGCTGAAGTGGGAGTATATTTAATGTGCGGTTTTAGTACAGAAAACACAAAAGCATGATCCGACTTCTGAAGGTATGTAAAAACTGTGGACAGAGGTATAAACCAAAAATAGAAGCAGTTGCCTCATTGACATGACTTCCTTCCAGTTCTGCTTTCTGTGCTTCAAGTGACAAGCTCACTTGCATTGTTTACACAAATGTCTATTTTGACATGTTTTTTTCTATAGGGCAAACAATCAGGCAAATAGACAGAATTATATCTAAAACTATAAAAACATGTCCATGTAATATGCAACACAAACACGCACAACAAAGAGATAATTAGGTAGGTGAAAGGTCTGAAATTGAGCTGAGGAACACAAAGACCTGATCACGGTGGTCTAATGTCACTTTAACCGTTCTCAAAGACAGTGAGATGGAAATCAATGCTGTTGAGCAGCAGGAACACCTTCTTTGCAATGTTAGTTTTTATCCCTCTCAGTGTTTACCACGTCTACATTCTCTCTTCAATTTTCAACTTATTCCCTGCTTCCTGTTCGTCTCTCCTTTACCAAGCTTTTAACATTTCATCTGCAGCTTCAGAGTGCTGAGCAGTACTGTGACAGCATCATCTATCTTCCCCCGCATCTTTAGGTACCCACACACAGGCACCAAAGTTCCTATAAATATTTTCATTGCTTATGGTGGAAAAAAGGAGAAAAAAAAAACAACTTCAATGGTAAAAGCAAGAAAATCCAATGTTGGTACTTATTTTCACTAGTTAGAGAGAAAAGGTAACATACAGTACACAACAAAAAAAGGCAGCCAACCAAATAAGGCAACCTTTCACACACACACAAAATAACACCAAATAGCAGTGTAGAACATTCATTTGACCAATATGAAGTAAGGGAGATCAGCGGAGTACCACAGTAAACTGGTGCATTCATATGAGAACATGAAAGTACCTTACACAAAAAGAGATTTGATCTAAACACTTTCTTGCCGTTTAGACTGTTAAAATAATTTGTTCAGTGTAATCTGCCTTAATAGATGGTCTAGGAATTTGTGACCAAGAAAAGATAAGCAAATAATATTTGTTTAGCTGTGATTTAGAGCAGTGATTCCCAACTGGGGGTACTCATATCCTTAGTGGTCCGTGAGTGCATTGCAAGGGGTACATGAAAATATTTTTATTTCTTAGGGAGTGAAATAAAATAGGTCTGTTTTTTTTTTTTGTGAGGACCCAATTGAAAAATTAAACAAGCTTTTATCAACCAAAAAGTGTGTTTTTCTTATATGTGGGACAACAAACTAATTAAGTCAGTCTGACTATAAATGTTGTTCTGTATTTTATTCCCAATTCATCACGTTTAAATTTGATTATAAAGGAGTTACTCAGAGGAGCCCCACTTTTATAAATACATGTTTAGAATATTTCAATTTCTTCCTTCCAGGCAACATATTTATGTTGTTTTTCCATTTGAGATGGATAGCATAAAATGCCTAAGAATTAAATGCTAGAATTAAAAGATTAAGAAAAATTGTTTTTAATTTATAATAACTTATTGTACGTTTCACTTTTGGACAATCATTAATACTTGAATGAGAGGGGGGACTCGAGGTAAGAAAAAATACCCAAAGGGGTACACAAGTCAAAAAAGGTTGGGAAACACTGATTTAGAGAACTAAACTGAGTGTTTCCACAACAACAAAAAATTAAAAATCAAAATTCAGCAACAGAACATTTAAGTAATAACTATATTGAAAAAAAAAAAAAAACGAATAAAAATAAATAAATAAGGAAATTTGAGTTTGTTCTTCAAAGGTTTACTAAATGGAGCTTTTAAATCTTATTAGGGTACGAAGTTCATTATCTGTTACATAAGCCATAATATCATGCAGTTTTATTGTGTTGCTTCCATATACATTTATCAAAAATTTGTAACTTTGTGAGAAAAAACATTTACTCATCCACCACTCTTTATCTATTGCATTAAAAGTGCTTTTTGGCTGTACGCAAACTAAAAACAGGATTTTAGAGCAGTGGTAAAGACTGCATCTTTTACCTGAGACAGCCAGTAGCATTGCGCAGCACTTGAGAAGTATGAAGGTGGAGCTTTCGATCATCAAGATGACCAGGAGAAGAATCCCAGGTGGAGTGCGGTATGATGACGCTATTGGTCAGAACAGCAAGTGCATCTTGGATAATTGGCATCTTCAGGGCATCACATGATGACAGGTTCCAAAGAACACCTGGATATAAAGTCATTGAGAGTACAACAGGCTTTATTAAACACCTTTATCATTCTGCAAATCTTACTTTTTTATGCACTTTTAACATAATCTATTTCTTATTTTCCTTTTCAAGATAATTGTTTTATATTCTATCACAGCTTTGAATAAAATATTGGCTCAGTTGTTAATTAGCTGGATACCTCTGCATAATAAACAACTGGCTGCAGTAGCTCTAAATAGACATTTGATTACATCTGTAAATGTTTATAAACATCTTTAAAATAAGTGTGTTTAGACAAAAAATACTTTATCAGCACAACCCAGCAGAAATATAGCACATCTGATAGAAAAGCCTACAGTCTCTGACCTATGGAATACTTTAGAACTGGAGCTATATGAGGAGATTGCGCCTCTTTTTTGATTCAATTTTTATTCTTGAGTCTGCTGGTCTGAATATTGAGTGATATAGCTAAGGCATTGATTACTACACTCACAGAAATACAGAATATCAAAATAAACATACCCCACAAAATCTAAAGCAATGCAGAGACACCCAGCATATGAATACAAATAAACTTATTTCATATGCATTATATTACCTAATCACAAATATCATAAACACACACTCTGTAAATACTAAAGCATATTTTCTCATCTACTCATCAGATGGCATACCAGATGCTATTCTAAGACAAGTGATAGCTCTAGCCTCATCGGTCAGCTGAAGCACACTCATACACAGGAAAACCACAACCAGATGTGCTCTTCATTTTCTCATAATTTCAAATAAACAAGTCCAAGTGCCTGAACCAATCATTTACAAGCAGGAAGTAAACAACAGAGAAAAATAAAACATAAAGGAAAACAGAGCAACAGAGAAAAACAGAGAAAGCAAGGACACAACATAGATCAAATAATGACGAAAAATAGAAGAGAACTGGATGAGATACTTTGAATCTGTAAGAAAAACTTTGAACAATAGAGAGAAAGAAACAAAACACATTTTCTTAAATGACCAAAGCAGTACATATGAAAAGCGGAAAAATGTTAGTTTGCTTTTGGACTCCAGATTTCAAACATGTAGATGACAAAGGCTTTTCTCAACACGATAAGGAGACGGCGACTAAATAAATATGGCTCTTTGATGACTTACACGTGTTTTTGTTGTCCGAGCGAGACTAGGCAGGAAATGTTAATGAGTGGTTCGGTAGACAACAAAGAAAAATGAAATTTATGCTGAATAAGTACATGTAAGTGATCTGTTGGACTTATGGATATACTTTAAATATGATCCATCAAAAAGGAAATCAAATGTGTTCTAGAGACACACTAAAATGTATGTGGACATAAATGAGGAGGGAAATATGACAACTCTTAAGCAGCACCTTAAGGCTCCCCATGCTTTCAAAGTTAAGGCCCATTTAACTTCAGGCTAAAGTCAGGTTGGTTCCTATTTCTCCTATTTATATAGACCTTGTTTTCTTGTAATAATTGATAATGTATATATTAATAATGGGAGCTGTTTTAAGCTTAAAATCAATAGGAAAAACACAGATTTATTAATGTGTAACTATTTCAAATAATCTGAAAAAATATATAATATGAAATAATTATTCTGGTTCTGCAATATTTGGACTCAAATAAGCACATATCTAATTATTATACCCCATGTTCATATAATAATGCAATAGATTTACCTCAAAACTTTGAACTAGGAAGGTGGAGTGACATAATGATGGTGTTACAGTTTACCACTAACTTATATGGCCAATGTAAGCTAGAATAGTGAGCATAGCAAACATTGATCTCTTGTGTTTTTTGGGTGAGCATTTTTTTTTTACCTGTTAGACAGCATAGTGTTCTCATTTAGGTACTTAGGTTATGAAGTCATAATAGATTTACAGACACTTTCCCTTGTCCTGTATGGATCCCAACTTAACCCTGTTCGATCATCTCCAGACCAACCATCTAAAGACAAGTACTTTCCCATTGGACATAAGAAATTGCAACAGTACAGTAAAGGCTTGGTAAAACTCACTTAAGACTAAGAATGATAGCTAAAAGCCATCAAAGCTGTTAGCTAACATTCTATGGAAGCTCATTTCAGCTGCTCGTGTTCAGGGTCTTTCCTTTTGTTATTTTGCCAGATTGTTTTTATCTTCATTTTGGGTAAAGAGACTTGAATTAAAGTTTTGTTTTTGGTAAAGCTCTTTTATTCAAAACAATTGACAATAGACAAATCCCCCAACCCATATGGAGCAGATCACCTTATTTTGGCTGACCTAAGGGAAGTTAAAAGTCTTTCATTTGTTTCACTTAATATCACACTTAAAACTGTTTCAGCGCCTGCTGATGGTCATTAATTTAAGTTTCCAACAGAACAAGAGGTTCCACATTAGGAAAATGTGAGACCTTGAGTCTCCCAAACCATGTATTTTGCTCTCAAGAACTCAATAATGAGATAATTTTCTTATGAACCATAAAGAGGATAAAGAACAAGGAGCATTCGTGAAATTCTAACTGCAACGAGCATTACCTCAGTTTTGTGCGGAGAATAGACATGATTCCTGCTTAGGAATAAAAGGATTATATGGTCCTTGAGAACCTCCTGGGTACCCCATACTCATTTATTACCTACCATAAAATGCATCAGGCAACACAGCTGTAAGCTCTCTCAATGACATTTTGAGGTTGAGAAATATGTTAATCAATACTCGTTCCCTTTCTTAAATACTGGAAGCCGGACATTGTTAACTCTTATTGGTAGAGACTCCATTGCTCTATTGTTGTGGTGTTTCCTCCTATCACCAACTGCTGGAGAAACTTTACCATTGTCACCAATGTGAGTCTACCTGCTCCCCAGGTCTTCCTTCAAGGAAACATTAACTCCAGCCATTCATTTTCCTGCCTTTCTACCCTCCACATACCAACCTCTCCACCATTTGCCTCTTTCCATAAGAGAGCAAAGGAATCATTTATAAGAGGAATCTAGACATTAAACAGATTCGAATATGTTACATCATGTTTTACAAATAGAACATTAAAAGCAAAGACAAAAAAAAAGTAAAAAAAAAAATTAGAGAAAAGCCTAAGGAAAGCGTGAATCCTAAAAGAAAATGGCAACATGTATCTATGTGTGAAACAATGGGAGGACAAGAAGGGCTGGGTGATAACACAATGACCTTGTCAGTTGTTAGACGACAATCAAGTGCTTGTGCAGAGGGTTTATCTGTGAGATGACTGCTGCAACATTTGTCTTTTCAGCTTCTATTCAGCTGTTTCACTTCTTGTCTCTTCCTTAGTCTGCCAACAACATAGTGCAAATGAGAAAAACACTAAAAAGGCACATAAAATGAGACACTTATACCCTAAACTATTTTGTCTCTATGTCCATTTGTTTCTTTGGTTTTTCCTGTATACAGCTCTTTGTCAACAACTGATTATGGCATGATTAAAGCCACAAAAAACAGTATTTACTTTGGCATGCAAGAGCAAGAACCTGTTCCCTGGCTTAAGCTGCCTTTTGAAACCTGTCGAAATATGCAGAATTGTTGGTGTGCCAGGCCAAAAAACATTTCGCAAATGCAAGGGAAGGAGGTTATGACTGTAATTACCATGCCATCTCCCTTAACAAAAATAAACAAGTGTATTTTGTAGGAGAAAAAGAGTTTCTTTCTGGGACAAGGCCAACATGTCTGCCATGTGCTAAAATTTGACAAATACTACACTGACATAAGCCGGCTAACTCTAATGCACATATTCATGCTCCTAAAACATAAATATTTGATGCTCTGCTAAACTGTGTATCCTTCAGAGAACAAAATCTTGTGAATACAATCCAATGACATCATAAGAAAGTCCTTTTGTCTGAGTTTGTTTTTGCATTGTCTCTGGTTCTTTACAGCTTAATGTCCCTCTTTTTAACACGTATCTTACATGCTTAACAGACAGTTTCCTAGGAACTGGGTGGTTTGGGGGGAAAGGAGCAATGATTGCATGAATTCATGAATAAATGAGAGTGCAACTTGTACGGGGGTAGTGAGACCTGTAGGTCCTCTAGTGGCTATGTTTTATTAAACAGTTTTCATCTTTTCAGCTCAGTAAGAATTAGCTGTCAGGTCAGGACCTGGTGATGTGTAACACCAGATGACAAATTACACAACAAATTTAAGTATAAATCTCTTTGAATAGGAAAACAGAAAATAATCATTAACATTGTTGTACTTGTCAACAACAGCATAACTCTACCTAAGGATCACGTAATTTTCAAACCAAGTTGGATAGTTTTAAAATAAAAGTAAAAAGATCAATAATTTTTTTTTTGTCATCAGCTTAGGTTTAACAAATTTGATTGCTACCAGGTCAAATACTCAAGCACAGTGCATAGAGAGCTTGATGAAATGGTTTTCCATGGCCAAGCAGCTGCATCCAAGCCTTACATCACTAATTCTCTAAAGAGACAAATTGAGCTTCTCCATCTGGCGATGAGATGTACTACTCTGGGTTTGATGGTTGCCAGGAGAATACTGAGATTACTGGTGTGACTGTAAAGTACCAAGCGTAAAGTTTGGTGGAGTATGTGTTTTTTTTTTTTTTTAAGGAGTTGCTTGGCCCTTGGTTTAAAGGAATATCAATATATATAAAGTGACATGAGACAATTTTGTATTTCTAAATTTGTGGAAACAATTTCAAAACAGCCCATTCACCTTCAAACATGACTGTGCATCACTGCACTAGGTGAGGTTCATAAAGGCATGAATGACGCTTCGGTGTTGGTCAATTTGCCTGGCCTGTGCAGAATCCTAACCTCAACCCAATAGAATACATTTGTTAGGAATTAGAGTGGAGACTGAGAGCCAGGCCTTCTCTCCAACTGTGTCTAAGACTTAACAAATGCAAAATCTAGAAGAATGGGTATGCATAGGGTGGACAAACCTTATTCCTATGGATTAGGAATGGAATGCCACTTAAATTCATATGCGAGCCAATGCAAGCGTGCAGCAATATCTAACATTTTAGTCATTTATCTATCTTCAGAATATTGTGACTTTTAGAAAACATAAAAAGATAAGCAAAATGGACTAGCCTATAGGAGTTGAAAGTGCATACTGTATATCTTTGAGTAGGACATATCTATAAAACATTTTACTGCTTTGTCTTAACAATATAGATCAGTGTACCTTTAAATTGGAAAATATCTTAAAAAAAATACTGTTCCTTCAAAAAGGGTAGATGTGTGGATGGTAGAGGGGGTTGCTTTTCAACAACAATATAGCCTATAGTGGTAGCAAATGCAGCCATGGTCGGCTGCTTTAAGGTGAGATGAAGAGGCGGGATAGCATCTCCTATTGACATAGAAAGCCTTTGCATCGACCAGAGTTTGACTGACAGGGCCGGAAGCCTTGGCCCCATGCTATCTATCTCACACTGAGACCCAGGAAGCCAATAAAGCTTTTCTAAATTTAAAGTCAAGCATCAACACGGAAAATATGGTAACTGTTAAAGATTGCTTAGTTGCTGAAAACTATGCCCTTGTCTTTTTTCTCAGATTTATACAGATACTTAATCACAAAGAATGGGAAAAAAACAAAAACATGTAAAAACAGAACTCAAGTAATAATAAGGATGCTTTTAGTCTAAAAAACAATCACATATATGAAACCATTACATAAGGACCGTGTCTCCTGGTCACTTCAATAATTTGTCTTCATTTAGCGGATCATTAGTATTAAATGTCAATCAATGAGCACAAGTAAAAGGGGAAAAAGCAGTAGATAGTAGATATCATGAACTGTATTGATATCATGAACTCATCCATTTAATTGGGATACATCATGTGCATGCATATTTGTTAGTCAACTGAGCTTATTTTTTATATTTGCCATCTTAAAAATCTTCTTGTCTGACATTGTTTGTCTCTTTACTACAGATCCAACAACAACAACCATTATAATAATTTAGTTTCAGCTCTCCGTGAGATTGTTCCCCTCATGCCTATTTACATTTTATAATCTGAGCCTGAGACTGTAGTAGTCTATATAATTCAAGTACTGCGGAGCATCTCTGTAGCAAATTGGGAATATTTTAACTCAAATAGCACTGAATGAGAAGATTTTTTTTCTCTATAGTCAATGCTGCTTTAAGCAGCAATTATACAATTATAATTTTGCTCCCATCATTTGAAACAAATTGAAACACAAATAAAATGGAATCACAGCAATGGTTTTGAGAGGTGAATAGGAGAGGTGTTAAATGAATACAGTCTTTGAAATATGGCAATGCTGGCAAGAAGGCATGCAAAATGTGAAGTTGAATGCTAAGTACTAGAATAAACAGACAACAAAACATGCGTGACAAAGAATCACACTGCCTGCAGCAGAGGTAAAGCAGACAGAGAAGGGCAAGGACAGGAAGAGCCAAAAAGAGGTGAAGATCAAATTTCATAGTGTGTGTCTCTTTGTGTGAAAGGATGATGGCTATTTATAAAATATGTCTGCACAGCATATTATCCAGTGTGGCCTGCAGTGATTGGAACCTGCTTTTAGACTAAAATACAAACATACTTCAGCTGCAGACACTTAAGTCTTCAGGGTGATGGAATTAAACTATCTTACTATAAGCTGTAAAGACCAATAAACAAAAAAGACAGACATTAGACTGATCAATAAGAATATGTAAAAAAAAAAAATCTCATCTAATATGATGGATCATGAGATATCTTGATGAGATAGATAGGCAAAATTCTTAGTTCCAGAAATGCAAATCTGGCAAAACATACCCCTGAAGACTTGCAAGCATATTCAGAGCCAAAGTTTCCCCTACAAATTATTGATTAGTTGAATTGAACTTAAATGCTTAATATATTTTAATACATTAATATAGAGTCCCTTATTTGGTTTGTGACTCAAAAAATGCAATAGAATACTTAAAGTTATTGTTTGTATTATCAAAAAATGTGAAAATCTTATATGTATAAGATTATATGTAATCTTATATGTAGACAGCAGTCTTTTGTACTTTATTTCTCCAGTGGAATTAGCGGAAACAAAACAACAACAAAAAAGGAAGAAAAAAACCCACACACTGATTGGAAAAAGACTATTTAAATTATTTTTTAGATTTTTTTCAGCTCTTTCATCCCTACTATCTACAGATTGTATCAACTCAACTTTTTTATTTTTGTTCTGCTACATGAACATGCCATCTGATCCAGCAATTACTAACTGAAAAAAGAAAGTAGTTTAAAACAGTAACAATTTACTTCTTGTGTGTTTTTTCCCTTGGAATAATTTTGAAGTTTGCTTTAATACTTTCACTTCATCTATATCTGAAATTCCAACTGCATTACTTCAAAAGTGACAATCCTCTCTCCCCTTACAGAAAGAGTCCTAGGTGATCCATCTAGGGATGTTTGAGTATGCATGTGTGTATATTATATTCTGAGCTTTATCCCACAGAGGAAGCAATGGGGTCAAATGTCAAATTGAAGATGAGGGGCTTTTTTTTTTCTTTTTTTTTTCTCTGTATTACATGTGAATGTGTGAACAGCCTGTGTGGAATTATGGAAATAGTTGTTGTTTACTGAATGTAAACTGTGCTTCTTATCTTTGGAAATGTCCTAGTCTATGAGGTCTATCCTGGTCTCAAGTGACAAAGACGTCAAAGAGAGAGATAATGATTAAACAAGTGCAGAAACACAGCTCAGTATAATAGATTTAATGTGGAAAGAAACAATATAAAATATTTATAAATAGCAAATAACACGATAAACAGTAAAACAGAGAGGATTTAGGCAGAAGTGTCTTGATGGAAGATTTGCTAGCAGGAGGTGATTCCCACATATAGTATAACACTCATTCAATTGAATGTGATCTTAATCTGAAACCTCATAATTTTTTCCAACTAAACATGTGTAGGAAAATGTATTACCACACCACAGGACTATAAATTATTAGGTTTAAAAAGATTTAATAAATCATATCACAAAAAGTATAAATAAAACTGAACTGAGAAGTGCACCCAGGGGACTTAGTATTTGCAAGCATCTGCTTGTGTGTGCATTATAAAGTCATGTTTCTAAGCCAAAAGTCTTTGCTTGGGTCCACTCTATAAAGTCTTAAAGCTATATCAGCTATTTCTGACATTTTGAATTTAAAAAGCTTCCTGGATGGGAAGCGAAACGTCTTCAAACTTAGAAACAAAGTCCAGTGGATTGTTTTTTTTTTTTTTTTTACTTTTTTTTAACATTATGAAGAAAGAAAGAAAGATTTACTAGAATTTGTAGAAACGTCTTTTTTTTTGCTTTTTTGATCGAAAGTTAATGAAAAGCAATAAAGAAAAACCAAATGGTGAATAAATCTGAAAATATACAGCTTAAATTATTTGAGGTCATGCAATATTTGTGTGGGTGTATTCAACACACTGTTTGCTTGCACATATTCCTTGGAGAATTGAAATTAGTTTATGTGTTGTGTGTTTGGGCTTTAAACTTTATCTGTGTGGGTGCGTATTCCAACTGAATAACTTTTCTTTCCCTCAAGGTTAAAACATGATTGGACAGGAAATGTCAGATTGAGTAACAAAAGTAAAATCTCCGAAACTAACAACAAACTTTAAAAAAATGTCTGAGAGTAAAAAAAAAAAGAAAAAAAATCCTTGTACTAGAAAAATACCTACAGTGAATAACTAAGTGAATGAAAAGGAAGAATATGTACTACACCTTAATGGAGGAGCTATGTTCATTGATATTAATAATGGAATTGCATCATTCTCTGCTTGAATATGCAAATAGTTGACAAAATACATTTCAGTTTCATTGTTAAACTGTTTGGAATCTTAAATGATAAAGTTCTAGAGTGTTAGTTTCTTTTAAGTAAGAAGTACATTTTCCAAAAGTATGTTAATTCTGTAAAAAGTGAGTTGAAACAATGATGGAAAAAAATCTGTTTTAAAAACATAGTAGTTTCTGCCTGGGATATATAAAGAAAGTAATATTCAAGCAATGGAACTGCAGTCTAAAATTAAACTATTTTCAAACTAATTTCAGTTCCTTAATATATTTAAAGCAAATCAATGCCACCGCTTCAATGTATAGTCATACATTCACATGAAGGTGCTAGGGTATTATATTGTTGGTATGATCACAGAAAACTATTACAAATTTTCTCACACAAATACACATGCAATCCTCTTATACGGGCACTGTCATGTGAAAAACAAGGTTAATTGCAAACACTGTACCTGTAACAAGCTCTCTGATTTCCACATCCCCAGTCTTCCTAAGCAGACGGACTAAAGCAGGAATCCCTCCACAGTTCTTGAGGGTTACTTTATTCTCGTCATTGGCTTTGCCGTACACCAGATTCCTCAATGCTCCACAGGCGCTCCGGTGTACTTCACTCATCCTGTGATCCAGCAGATCAACCAACAGTTGGATTCCCCCCTGTCTACGGATCTGAGATTTAAAGACATAGATTCAGTTAAAATCAATGAAGATTTTTGTCAAAAACATTTAAAATAACTAGCAAAAATGAGCAAGAGTCAGAGAATAGGGTAAAAAACATTTTATTGTCCAAAAAGCATCTATCATTAGGGTTATTTAAGCAAGTGGTATCTAAACAAGATCATATAAATAAATCCTACAATGAGGAAAGGGCATGGACCACTGTTGCCTTGCAGCAGAAAGGTTTTGGGTTTGATTCCTGCATGTTCTCTATATACATAGTTTCTCTTCAGGTGCTCCAGCTTCCTCCCACATTCCAAAATCAAAACTGTTAGCTTATCTGGCATAATTACATCGTCCTTAGGTGTGAATGATTGTGTGCATGTTTATATGTCTCATCGCAATAAAGCATATATTGTTAAAAATTACAGCTGACTGAGGAAAATACTTTTTACATTGGATTTTAACCCTGGTTTGTGGGGTGTGGATCTGCTTAGCTCTGTACTTTGTCTCCATTGTTTTTAATTTACGATGGAAATGCTCTGATCCGCTCCGCTGCAAAGCCAAGAGGTGCTCCAATATTCTCCCATGCCTGTTGTGCAGAGTAATTTCGGTAGATTTGAATCCCAACTGGCTCCAGCATCCAGAAAAAAACAGATTTTTGCTGGATGCCCAAACATATTCTGCTGCCCTGTGCTTCCATGCAGGGGCAGTGTAAATGTTTATTTGATTATTATGGGTGTATATGTTTAATGCAGAGTTCATAATATAACAAAGTTGCTGGGGGAAAAAATGGGGGGGAAATCTTCTGCCAGATGACTTAAACTGAAATATTGATCACTGTTTTATGAAAAAGGGTCTTATGGACCTTAGTAGTTTTCTTGTGCATGGGTTGAACTTGTAATATCTTAAGTTAAAATGTTTAGCAAGCTATTCATTTTATTGGCTTCATTTAGTAAGAGAAAACATTCCTTGTAAAAATACCTGATGATCTGTAGTTAATCTCTGTTTACTGGCATTAAAGCCTCCCAGAGTTGCTGACTGTCTTGATTTTTTTTATTTTAATCAGCATTGACTTAAAAACAGAGTATATTATGAAGAATTAGACCAGGATTTTAAAAATAAATAACCTGCTCCACCTCATGATCATGTTGGATTCCAAATATGCTGGTTTTCTATGAAATTATTACTTCTAAGAAGGAATACAGGCATTTTTGAACATATAGAGCTATTTGTGTGGGTTGTAGTTTGTATGGATATAGAATAATCCATAACAGGAGAAAATATATAATGTGCCTATCAAGAGTTACATTTACATTATCTTATGTTCAACTCAGTTAAAAAAAATACTAATCAAATCATTAACAGCATATCAAAATAATGAATATCATATGTTCATATGGAAATCCCCTCTCTTTCTCCCTGTCTTCAACACTAAACCATTAAGTAGATTAATCTTATTAACAGGATAAGGGCAATGGAATAGATATGCATATCCATTCAGGTAAACAGTGAAACTCCAGAGAGCTGTCTAAAGAACAGTGAGTGTGTGTTTGTTTTATATATTTATATGTATGATTATCCCCCAGTATCTGCCACTCCCTCCAATCAGATTAACGACCCAACGTGGGCTAATTATGAATAATATGACATGGCTAACGGCTGTGCTTGACAAAACGCACACTTGCTTACACTGATGAGAGAAGGAAAAGGAGCTTTCAGTTTATAAAAAAAAAATATTTTCCTTATCTTTCTCTCTTGTCTTTTCACTGTTTTCCACTTTGGACGTGTTGTTTCTTTTGAATTATTTGAATATAGATATATATATTTCTTCGGTTGTCCAGTGTAGCTTTGTGGACTGGTGCCAGCAGAACCACCTGATTAGCTATTAGTGGACTTTTGCAGAAGCAGATCCACCCCACTAACACAGCGGTGAACATCCAGGGAACGGACATTGAGATTTTGTAAGTACATAGGTGTTCACCTGAAAAATAAACTGGACTAGACTCACAACACTGAGGCTCTCTACAAGAAGGATCAGAGCAGACTCTTCATTACTCAGGAGACTGAGGTCTTCTGGAATGCATTGTGCACTCCCAAAGACCTTTTATGGCTCTCTTGTGGCATCAGCCATCTTCTATGGAGCTGTCTGTTAGAGCAGTGGCTTAGCTGAGAGTAGCTGTAGCTGGATAATCTGATCAGGAAGGCCAGTTCCCTCTGGACTCAGTGCAGGAGGTGGGAAACAAAAGGAACCTAACTAAAATAACATCTCCGATAGATGTCTCCCAACCCATGCATGAAGCTGTTTCAGAACTGGAGAGCTCCTTCAATGAAAGACTGCTGCACCCTTAATGCCCCAGGGAAGGTTATCACAGATCCTTTCTCCCAGCAGCTGTAAGACTTTATAAAGACCACTGTTCCCTATAACCTCAATAAGTTGTTACATTCATGTTGATTTTTGCAGCTCCCCTCTTAGTCAGTTAAATAACATGCTGCTGTCATATTTTAGCACATCTCCAGTGTTGCTGCTATTTTTCATATATCCATTACTGTAAAAATGTCCACAGCTGTTTAGTGATAATTCATTCTCCAGATACAGAGTATTTACATTGTAAAAACACTGTACAGTACTGCACTTTTTTGTTTAGTTTCTTATTTGTTATTTCTTTATACACTTTTCTAAGTTCAACATTGTGTGACCACTTCTGCTATAACCTTTTACTGCTGTAACACCACAATTTCTCCATTGTGGGACAATAAAGGCATTTTATATTCTATTCTTCTTACAGGTGTAAAAAAACAGCAAATGAAATAAAAATAAATAAATAAATAAAACACACATACATATTTCAAAGAGGTTTATTGGTATCGCCTGTTTGTAACAAAGTGCAACTATGACTTTCTCCTTAAATCTTTGGTGTGGTATTGTGCATTCAAGTTAGAAACAGATCATTTAAGAATTTGGTAAAGATCAGGTGTCTTATTAATAGGGCTTGTGTACATATAAAACAAGACCCGAGTCGTGGGTTCGCTGACTTTCAAACAAAATTTGTGACATATATACAAAAAAAAAAGAAAAAAAATTGGGGTGAAAATGTGGGATCACCTTACATAGGGGGAAGTATTAACCCTGCCTTGTTTTTCTTTATCTTGTTCATTTAACCAGTTGATTAGCCACTGGTTAAGTGACAATAGTCTGCATTGTTGAGATAGAAGTACAACTGGTTAGAACTGATCTCTGTACAGGCTTTTTACTTTCTGGAGCTGGATTATCCACCTCTGGTCCCGCATGGAAAATCTGATCCATCCGTAAGGGGTATGTAAAATTTGGAAACAGGAAATCGGCCACACAGATGCTGATGATGGAAAGTGAAGACAGATTGCATCAAAAGTCTTCTGATGCCCCTTTCCCACTGGCCGAAAAACCCGTTTTAACCCGGGAACACCTTTAGCTTTTAGTGGCAGTGGGAACAGCGACATATAAAAACATATTCTGCAATGTGTGTTTAACAATCTATTAACTCTCTGCCTAAGGTCAGTTTTAAGATTAAAAAGATTCTATGAAATAATCTATAAATCTGAGACATCACAGACAGCATTAAGTGCAGTTCTGCCAGGATGACCTTGTTAATGAGATTGGTCGGACTCTGATTGTGTCATTCATAATTTCCTTTTATTTGTCACTTGTTTGCTGTGGCTAACAACCTATTAATCCAACTCTTAACCTCATTGACCAAAATATCAATTTCCGTCTGTGGTTAACTGCCCTTTTTTACTCTATGTTGCAGTTGCTATTGGTAACCATTAATAACACTGATCAGCTGGCTACTTTAAACACAGGCAGTATATAGTTAAATGTGGGTGTGGAGAGGTCCAAACATGAGGTTCGACTTTGTGTGAGAGCTATGATGTATAAAGGGAGATTACTCGGTTATGTTTTAAGCATTTTTTAAAGCATGGTTTAAAAAAGATTTTTGACAAATGTGCACTTCTAGCATGGACCCTTCTAATATTAAAAAAATGAGATATCAGTTCATTTACACTCTAAATCCACTCCAAAGACAGAGCTGTATGCTTTGCATTCATTGTCCATCAATGAATGCAAAGACCTTAACCAAGCGGCACATTTCATACTATATTTTGACTTACATCAATAGCTAATACTTGCACATGATCTGGATCATTAGCTGCCCATAGCCATTCAAGATATCCTGCACACTGGCAGAGATGCACACAAGCTCTACTAAAAACATGAATATTTACCTCTTTAACAGAGGTAAATATTCAGAGAGCAGTCTATGGGATAAAAAAAAATCAGAAATGACAAGCATGTTATAAGGTTGCATCACACACTGAGTGGGTGACAATTTTCTTTTTTGTTGATAGGACATTCTCCCTAATGCCAGATCCCTTGGCGGATAGCAAATGCAACATTTTTTTATTTTNTGGACTCAGTGCAGGAGGTGGGAAACAAAAGGAACCTAACTAAAATAACATCTCCGATAGATGTCTCCCAACCCATGCATGAAGCTGTTTCAGAACTGGAGAGCTCCTTCAATGAAAGACTGCTGCACCCTTCATGCCCCAGGGAACGTTATCACAGATCCTTTCTCCCAGCAGCTGTAAGACTTTATAAAGACCACTGTTCCCTACAACCTCAATAAGTTGTTACATTCATGTTGATTTTTGCAGCTCCCGTCTTAGTCAGTTAAATAGCATGCTGCTGTCATATTTTTGCACATCTCCAGTGTTGCTGCTATTTTTCATATATCCATTACTGTAAAAATGTCCACAGCTGTTTATTGATAATTCATTCTCCAGATACAGAGTATTTACATTGTAAAAACACCGTACAATACTGTACTTTTTTGTTTAGTTTCTTATTTGTTATTCCTTTATACACTTTTCTAAGGTCAACATTGTGTGACCACTTCTGCTATAACCTTTTACTGCTGTAACACCACAATTTCCCCATTGTGGGACAATAAAGGGATTTTATATTTTATTCTATT